AGTTTGCACATCTACAGACCTAGCGTTTTAATTTGACACCCCAGTTTTGAAAATCGAACGAACGGTGCAGATCATTTATGCTGCACGAAAAATATATATAGATGCCAAAAATCAACGGTAAGTCCGAGATACTAAAAATTTTCAATTTGCTTTCTAAAATTAATTGGACTACAAAACTGAATACCAAAATTTTGTCTAAAGATGCTGATCAAGAAGTTGGAAATTTTGGTCAAACTTTGCAGAATTTTCATAATTTTTGCCCAAAGTCTAAAATTTGGATTTATGTCGTATTTGTTAACTAACCACCTATACTTTCATAAAAAATAATAAACATTAAATAAAATATATAAAAATTGCCAAATTTTTCTCTTCTGCTTTCACACGTACACGAGAAAAACTGCACACATATATGAGCATTCTTTATGAATCAGTGGTGCCGACGATTAGGGTTTTGCTGTGTTCGTGCTCAATCGATGCGAAACTTTCAAGCAATCAAGTCGCTGCAAGACACGGTAAAAATGTTTAATCCCCTTTCTTTTAATTCAAAATAAGAAAATTAATACAAATTAATTCGACTATTTGCTTTAACTTTAATTTTAATTATATTAAAAATCTAACCCACTAATGAAAGTGAATTAAATTATATTAAAAGTTTAATTCTTTCATATTATATCTACCTTTCACACTATTTACAAAATAAAAAAAAATCCTTTTTTCTTATAATTTACAACTCGAAATCATTGACAACACTGTTTGCATCAGACGCGCGAGCGACTTATTCTCTTTATTCTCTCATCGTTTAGCAAAATTAAAATGTATGATTAGGTGTGTACTCGTATTGAGAGGACAAAATTCTCCATCAGCAAAAGTTCTGAGAATTTAGCAGCATTCGCTTTCAAAGAGACGAAATATCAACAGAAGTACGAGAACGCAAAATTTGCAAAAACTTGCAACCTTCGAAACAGCTGATCACTTGCACAGTTGCCACTGGTGATTAATTTGGCAATTTATTTTCTGCTTCGTACATTTTCCCCCGATTTGGCATTTTATACAATTGAATAGTTTTGGATAAGAAAAACCTTTTTAAAATACAAATTAATTATATCGGAATGAATAAGTTATTTTTCTCATAATTATTTGTGATATCACATGGTGACGCATTCAAAAACAAGAGTATCTCCTCCAAACACCCATCATTGATCCAAAAAAATGTAATAGATAAGCTACTGATGTAGCTTTAAAATTATAAAATTTTCATTTCAACAATCAACCCACCAAAACCGAAAACTTCAGCAAAAAAAACATTTAGCATGTTGCATTTAAATCTGTTTTGGTATATTTAAAGGAAAATTATGGTACAAACGAAAAATTTCATACGGCAGCCATAGTCAGCACACACTAAAGTAAACAAACTGGATATTACAGCAAATTAACGAAAAATAAACTCAACAAACGTTGTGCTTATTAAATTTACTCACTTTTTCGTTGTATACTTTGCAAAAAATAACTCAAAAAGGCCATGCAGCTCTCTTTCACATTTTGCTCTCTCAATTTCCCCTACTTAGCAAGTTTTTTGGGTACGAGAACGCAAAACCAGTAAAAGTTTTCTAAAACTTTAGATAGTTGGGCGTACGGTACACTCCTATTGTGTGAGTTTTGGCCACCTCTGCTTTATAACGTTGCACCACGTTGCATTTCGTATTCTAGCAACTGAAGAAACGTATACTAAAAATTTCAGAAATGTGCTCACGATTTAAAAAAAAGTAATTCACAAAAAAAATCTAAGTTTCTGAGAAATGCCCATATCTCACACGATCTTCAGGTGACACAACTAAAAATTACACTTTACCTTTGGTTATTTCAACAAATTATAACAAAACTTTCTCCAGTGTTTGCTGAAAGGTAAATAAAAGCTCTGTGTACATTTTTATTGCATAATTTCAAAAATGCCAAATTTTTAGTTGTGAAAAAGTAAATTCTTGGGCCCTTGACATGGTGGTTGCTGAAAGCTATTTATAAACAAAATTTCATGAAAATCGGAACTGTCGTTCGCGAGATTATTATTGTTCATTATTATTAGCTCTGATCCAGTACTCCATGAACTTACAGGATTTTACACGAACTTGCAGGAAGTTACAGGAAAAATGTTCCCGTACTCCAAAAGCCTCCAAAATCCTGTAAATGAGAGCGACTTTTGGAGAGTTGTGTAGAGAATGAAGTTGCAAGATTTTACCCGAACTTTTTCTTCTGGTAAAATCATGAAAAGTGTCAAGCGATCAGCTGTTGCACAAAAGTAAACAAAAATTTTGATATTTTTTGAGCGTTAAAACGAAATAAAAATGGAAGTAAATAACGAAACATTTGAAGATGTAAGTAATTCCACATATATTTCAGAGATTTTTATGTTATTAATTAATTTATAGCAAGCATGTGCCGCTGCTTCTAGCACTCCTTTAGAAGACACAGAGGCAGAGATTTTCAGCACATTAATAGATGAGCTAGTAAACTCTTCAAGCGACTCGGATGACTTCTTATATTTGATAAGGGAAAACTCCGACAGTGAAGATGAAGCGATATTTAAAGAAGTAATCCAAATACGGCAAAGCAGAAATAGCATTAAAAACTATTTTGAAGAAGTAGTTCCCACATACACTGGTGAAGAGTTCTTAAAAAATTTTCGGATTTCCAAGGAGTTGTTCGCTATTTAACAACGAGATATGAGCAATCCGATTCATATAAAATACTTAGGGATGATAAGCGTTTGTCAGCTGCGAAAAGTCTGGCTGTGTTTTTGTGGTTTGCCGGTCATGAGGCTTATAGCTTCCGTGATTTATCCGACCGGTTAAATTTAACAGTCTCAAGTATTTCCCGAGTAATTGATAGGGTGACAATGTTCATAAGCGGATTGAGCCCTGAAGTTATCAAATGGCCCAGCAACGAAAGGAAACAAGAATCTGCTCAGCTTGGTTTTCCGAAGTCAATAGGTAAAAGTGCATTTAAGAATGTTGTGGGAATGAATTTTTGTGTATTCACTTCAATTATTTTTTTCCTTTTTTGATTAGGCTGCATAGATGGGACGCATATTAGAATAAGTCCCGCTTCAGAACGCAAAGACGATTATATTGACCGAAAAGGTCATGTAACATTAGTTATGCAAGGCATTTGTGATAAAAGAAGGAAGTTTATTAATGTTTTCGTCGGATTTTCGGGATCTAGTCACGACAGTTGGGTTCTTCAAAACTCCCCCGTTTATAATAACCTAACAACATTGTGCGGAGGTAATATTTTTAGGCCTACATCCTTATGAAGCAAGTTATGTAGAAGCATACTAGTATATCTAAACATTTAAAACTTTTTTAGATTACTATTTGCTTGGGGACTCGGCTTATCCCTGTAGTGATTGCATTATAACTCCATTCAAAGACAATGGCCATTTGACAAGGGACCAGACATATTTCAATAAACAACTAAGTAAAGGCCGCATTTTAATTGAGCATTCTTTTGGCATATTGAAACAGCGATTTCGACAATTGTATTACTGCAAGTTGAAACAAGGCATATTCAACAAGGTAGAAGTGACAATTCAGTCGAGCTCTCTCATACCTGACTGTAATGTCAAAAAATGTAAACAAAGAAATTAACCCTTTGTTATGCATTTACTATATGTGATAGAACTCAACTTCTTTGAAATGAAAGTTTTTGTAAATATGAAAATATTAAAATCTCATTAGAATCAGCATCATTTTATTTATTGAATTTTCGGTTTAATTTAAATGTGGAAATGCATACTTACACAAAATTACACACTAAATGAAACACACTCATTTATAAAACCGTTTTGACGATTTTCTTGCTTTTACTATCCCAATGTTTTTGAGCATTTATTTTTTATTCAAATACTTAATTCTAAAGTATATTAGACATTAAAAAAAGTTTGATTCTTCTAAATTTACATCAGAACTGAACTTCAATAATTTAGCTATTAAATTTTTGCTATTCGAAATTTCCTTTCCATTAAATTTATTAAAAATTACTTTCAGTTTCTTTATGTCAACAAGGAATACTGGTTTAGGTTTTATCAGACCTAACTTATGTTTATTTATTTTTAATAATTTGCATATAAATTATAATTTAATCTATATCAGAAGCAAACAATATCATTTAGATTTTTGCTGCTAAATCTTTGACCATAGCTGTAAGTGACACGACGTAAAACATGAATTTTCTAAAGTTATATAATTATTTACAAATTATTTTGACTTGGTCCGTAGCAAAGGGCCTTAGGCACTGTCGATCGTATACAAATATTTTTAAAAATGTTAATCACTAGCAAAAATTGCAATTTCGTGTCAAACGATGAAAGGTAAGTAACCCTGGACTTGCGTATATGTACATACAGCCTTAATTTAATTTCATTAATTATTCCTTTTTTTAAATAAAGTATTTATTTCTGATGGATCGCAATTTCAGTCCTGTAATTTATTTTGTCTTTTCGTTAAAATTTCCAACAGCTCAATTTTCTTTTTATCTCTTTCTGCCTTCTCTAAATCTCTTTCTTCTTTTCTTTTTAAGTAATCCAGCAACTTCTTATGATATTCCCTTCTTTCCTCCGCCATTTCCACCAGCGTTTCTTGGAGTTGCTGTGGTGTTAGTTTTCGACGCTTCGTAGAGCACCTTGGGATCTCATCTGCGTGGAAGGATATACAAGTACATATAAAGGTGAAGTACGTATACGTATGCGTGCCTTTCACAGAAAAATTGAATGTACAAATTTTTATGGCAGCACTTACATAGCAACGCATACGGATACGCGTGCTATGGAGGTCTGCTTGTAACTGTAGTCTTATAAAAAGTAAAAGAAAATTAAATAGAAAAATAATAAATGGTAAAATATTGTTTAAACGCCGTGCTACTTTTATTTTGAACGCAACTGTATGTATGTCGTACCTGAACTACCTGCCTGGAAATCTGAAGCCACCTCTCTACTTGCGGTATCCATCCTAGATGCTTCTGGAGAATCGCTGCTTTCCCAGAGGAAGGTCGGGTTTATAGACCGCTTTTCCGACAAAATTGCATCCAGCTCGCTAGTATAACACAATTTCACAGTTGGTAAAAAATAATAATAATTAAATCAACATAATCAAAATAATAATAACAATTATAATAATAAAACTGATATATAATATAAAAACGAACCTTTGATAAGGACACGTTTGCTTACTCCTTCCACTTTGCCTGTTATTCAGTACGGTTTTTTTTGTATTGGCGCTCCATGCCCCTGAACTTATTTTCTATTTGAATGGCACTGAATGAATAACCTTCTTTTCTCATCTGTTCCTCAATAATTTTCCACATTTTGCATTTATTTCTTACTTGCGCAGACTTCCCTACTTTGGGGCGGAGTTACTCTAATAAAGAGAGCATCAGTGTTGTTGGTGCTTCCAGCCATACCTGTTTGCCGTAAATAGGTGTAAAATCTTGACTGTCCTCTGCAAAAGCATAACCTTGTTAATAACTCAATCTGTAAAGATATCCAAGGCTATCACAGAATCCATCATAGTCCGATTCTCGTGAATTCTACGAGAATGCTTTCATTGAATTCGAATAGCTACGAACGTAGCGTATTTTCGAACATTTCGCGAAAAATCGGACTACGATGGATTCTGTGATAGCCACCATCATTTTACCGAGCGAGGAAAACGCCATTTCACTTGAAAAATTCTGAGATTCCACGATTTCGGGAGTCGCCTGTGTTTGTTCTTCTGCAATTGATAAGAAAACCAAACAAATAACTGATTGCAGCATTTACGGTAGTAGGGTACTTTAGCGGAACCTGCCCAAAACTTATCCAAAAATGGATCATCAGGTGGGATGTCAATCAACGTGTTTTAACGCCAATAACTATAATCCGAAAGCGGAAATAAACTTCGGGAAATGTTATTTGCCCACTGTTTTTGGGTTAGTGGGCGAAGGGGGAGGAGGAGTGGGTTTTGATATCCAATCAAATAGAAAAAGAACAGTGCACACTTAATAAAAAGTCACACCTGAGCTTGCAAAAGCTTCCACAGACCCCTAGGGAACCATTGGAAAATGGTGTAAAATTGGTATTTTGACACTGGAAATCTAAACCTGATAAACAGCATTTTTACGTAGAATTTATTTTTGCGTAGGCGGCCTTCGGCGCGCTTAGAGATTATAACCCATACTACCTAGGATTCTCCTTTCTGTGCTCAACATTTCTTGTGCATATAACTCCGGCCACCTTATTTTGATGCATTTCACCTAAAGGCCACCTACGCAGAAAGTTCTGCGCAAAAATACTTCCGCCCCTCTTCTCCGGTAACACAAAAAGGAGAATTCTACTTAGTAAAGGTTATAATCCCTAGGCGCGGCCAGAGGCCAGAGTTGGACGTAGGTGTCGTACGGGACAGCCGCTAAAGTGCACTTTAACACCTTTACTAATTAAAGAGCCTTCTAACCGTCTGATGCAAATATCACTTCATTAAATAAGATTCCATGTGTCCGGAACTCTTCCTCAAGAATTTCGGCAGCCTTCTGACGCATAAACGTTTCATCTGTAAGAAAATTACACTACAACACATTTTTTCTTTACATATAAAGGTAAGAAATATTACCATTTCGTATTCGATTTAATGTTCCCGGCGAGCAATCAACTTTTAATGTATTACCTTCCATTTATTCGCCTTTATTTATTTATTTTACCAGAAACAAAACTATTTGACTTTTTTACAGGAAAAATGTCTGTTTGACGTTTTTACAGGAAAAATGCTTTTTTTTGTTCCCGTACTTTTTGGTGGTTACTCACTTTTTACTCTCACTTCAGAGAGTAATTTTGCTGTTTGACAGTTTTACAGGATTTTTCACGAAAAGTATTGGATCAGAGCTATTGATATGGTGAAATTCCTTTTTGGTGGTAGCGGGAAATACGAAAAATTGTGTGCAACAAAACCAAAAGTCAGCTTATACATACATACAATTATAGAAATCAGAGAGCATACTTTTTAACCGACTTCCAAAAAAGGAGAAGGTTATCAGTTCGTCAATCGATCTCGATAATTCTTTTTGCTTCGCAATAAAATCTGCGTTTTGCTACCTTTAGTCCAGCAATTGTCACACCCATTTCTTGGGGTTTGTCAACTTAAAGAAAGGTCTTGCCACACAAATATTAAACCTGGATAGGTATTCTATCGGAATCCGCAATAAAATTTTACTTTTTGCAAAAACCCGATGTTTAACACATTGCCAAATATATCTCAACATAAGTTTTCGAAAACAAATTACAAAGAATTATTGATTATCTCAAAATAACCCATCTCGTCATAAAAAAAATAATTTTAAAATAGTTCTTGAGAAATGCCCATTTTTTTGAACCACGTTTTTTATAGAGAATTAAACAAGGATTACGATGGTATAATTTTAAATCCCTAATTTACTGGTCTTCACAATGCAACTCAACTTCATAAAGTTCAACTGTTACGAGCTAAATTAGCTTTACGACAATCTTGACCATCTTATATATGGAAATTTTAAGCCCGTTTCTTAGCTTTAAAATGACGTTAAGATTAAGAAGTCTCTACGATCAGCAGAACCTGAGATATAACGATTTGAGGAAGTACATGATTAGCCAGAATCACGAAAAAATGCAAACTTTGACAGATCATATCTCCGAAGAAAAAAAAGAAAAAAATTCCTTGAACACGTGTGATTTTAGCCGCTACAACACAAACAAGTGCAGCTGATTCGCAGCTACTTAAGGTTGACAGCGTGGTTATTTGTGTTAATTCCATGTATGAAATGAATCCACTGTATAGTTTCAGGCTATAACCAATAAGCAGCCCCCGACCAAAAGCGGCTAGAGTGGAGGGTTTGGCTGAAAAGGCCCTACGCACCCAAGGAAACTCCAATGCCAGGGCGAGTACTCGCCGCCCTTTAAGTAAGCGTTCCCAGACACTATCAGGGACTACTCCGAGGGAGTACCTACCCCAGAGAGGGAGGCAACAGTACAACTATGGATCAACAAAATTAGGAAGATAAAAAGATAACTCTGGGCGAACCATCAAGATCGAGACCAGTAGGATCTTGATTACGGTATACTGGAAAAATAATTGCTGGTGAAAGCAGTATTCTGTCACTTTAATAAGCGAGGTTGACACCTCGCTGAAATGACTGGCAGGCTAATGCTGCAATTGCCTCCGTCTCGTTAAAACCCTGGCAGGTCTTCAAGTACGTTCGAGACACGTCGCCATTTAGTTGGCCGCACAGGTCCAGTTGAGATTCACTCCTGGTTTTGCGCTGTCCTTGGCTCTGAACACAATGTCCCATAAGGAATTGTGACAACCCTCGCGATGGCCTGCTCTTTTGAGGGGGGATCTTCGGGGACATTCAAAGGCGACTGTGCTACGTGTGGAGATAGCGGCTTGAAGCGGAGACCCAAAAGTACAAATGAACACACCAAAACCAAACTAAAAAAAAGAACAACAAGAAGCACACAGCGCTCTTATCCAAGAAGAGAATGTAGGCATATTCCGCAGAAGCAGCAGGACTTTGCGCTCGCCAGTCCTGTAGAGCACACCAACGCTGCAGGCAAAACAAGCGAAAGCAGTTACGAATGCTGATCATGCCCCAGAAGCAACAGATCTGGTCGACTTAACACGCCCAGAGATAGAAGGAATCAAAAATTCAAGACAGGAGAAAAACACTTCGCCAGCTGTACACCCGACAACGCCAGGTCCTATCTCTCCAAGACAGGACTTTATTATCAAGATGAGACTCGCAGAAGAGGAGTCCTTGAAAAAATGCAAAAGCATCGTCCAAAAAATTAAGCAAGCTATAGCGAAACAAAGGAATGTCAGTCTCGAGGTCAAGAATGGAGCTGCACAACTAGAAGAAATGTTCGACATCATCCAAAGCTACCGCAGAAACTGGAAAATGAAAGAAAAAAGAGATCGGAGGTGCTGCCCAGGCTAACCTGACAGACACCACGACACCGCTAAAAAGACGAGCGGCAAGCCCACCAAAACAGCAGTCAACTCAGAAAACGCGAAGAGAAAAGGACGGGGAATGAAAACAAGTGACGAACAAGAAGTTAAAGGCGACGAAACCGGACGGGAAAGAAAACACGCCAGGCAAACCAAAATCTCCGGAAAAAAACGCAAACGAGAAGCGAAAAGGCCCTACTAAGTCTAAAAAACTCTCAGAGGCCGTAGTGATTAGGCCGGCAGAAGGGAACAGCTACGCAGATGTCCTTAAAAATATTCGCAGTAAGCTGAAATCAAGTGATGAAGTGAAGTTGAAGGGAATCCGGAAAACAAGGGCTGGAGCAGTACTGCTGGAGCTAAAGAAGGGGCAATCGGCGAGTTCAAGTTCCGCGAGGTATTAAAGTGCACCCTACGAGAGACCGCTACTGTAGCAGACCTTAAACCAAGGGCCACAGTGGAAATAAGAGACCTCGATTCCTTAACGACAAAAAAGGAAGTCGAAGACTGGGTAATGGGTATGCTGCAAGGATACGACAAAGCTATGAAGATCAACATCTCCGCTCCCAACAGTAGAGAACAGGTGAGGGCCTTCGTCACGCTCGATGAAGAAAAAGCTGATATAATAATAAAGCAAGCAAGGATCAAAATCGGCTGTATAAACTGTAGAGTGCGACTCAAAGAAAACTGCAAGAGGTGCTTTCGATGTTTTGGCCCTGGCCATCTAATCGGGGGCAGCAAAGGCCCAGACAGAAGGGGGAAAGGCCTCTGTATAAATTGCGGTCAACCAGGTCATAAGCTAAAAGAGTGTAATAAGCCACCAAAATTCTGCTTGTGCTCGAAAGCCAAATACACTGAGCTGGATCACATCCCAAGCTCCATAAGATGCTCAGTATACAGAAACTGGTCCAAGAAATGAATGTCCTGCAAGCCAACATGCACAGAAGTAAAACGGCTGACGCGCTACTAACACAGATGATCACTGAGCGGCATTATGACCTTGTAATCATAAGCGAACAGTATAAGAAAAAAGAATACGGGATCTGGATAGAAGATAGCAGTGGCACCGCTGCTATATGGGCTCCCCCCGGAAGCAGCATGCACATCTCTGAAAAAGGACATGGAAACGGCTTCGCCTGGGCCAGATACAACCATATAAAAATAATAAGCTGCTACCTGACACCAAACGAGAGCATACAAGACTTCCAAGATAAACTCGATGATATCGAAGATACGGCCATGAACTTGGAAGGACCCTTTCTGATGGCAGGAGACCTAAACTCAAGAGCCACGGAGTGGGGGATGCCAAACACGGACTCCAGAGGCAAACGCGTGCTAGAAATGTCAGCCCGACTCGGATTTATAGTGCTAAATACTGGCGCAGCAACAACCTTCCGAAGACCAGGATGCGAGGAAATCACGCCAGACATCACACTAGCATCAGAAGGCATAGCAGGCACCATAAAGGAATGGAAAGTATTGGAAGATTACACTGGTAGCGATCACCAATACATCTCTTTTATATTAGACTCCTAAATCGATGGTTTACGGAAGAAGATGCAATGTAGCACTCGCAAATGGAATGTCTCGAAATTAAATAGTGAAGCACTACTACTTGAAATAAATGCGCATGGCTCAGAAGAATCCTTTCACAATAACGCAATGGAAATAGTAGAGACTACAATGAAAATGATCTCCAGAGCCTGTACCAAAGCGATGCCGACAATTGGAAGCAATCGACACAAAACACCTGCATATTGGTGGACGGAAAACATAGCTCAACTAAGACGAACGTGCTTCCACCAGAGGCGTACTTACACCAGGGCGAGGCGTAGAAGCGCTGCAATCGAAGAAACACAACTATACCAAGCTGCTAGAAAAGAACTCAAACGAGCAATCGAGGCCAGCAAGAACAGAAAGTGGAAAGAACTGCGTGAGGATATAACCAGAAATCCCTGGGGTCTCGGATACAAAGTGGTAATGAAAAAACTTGGGGCCATGGCAAAACCACCAGAGATTAGCGCTCAAAAAATGGACTACATAGTAAGCGAACTCTTTCCCACGCATGAGGCATTAACCAAAGAAATGGAGCCTATCATCGCTCCTCAAGAAATACCACCATTTACCGCAGAAGAGCCCAAGTCCGCCACTAATAGAGTAAAGGCCAAGAAAGCACCAGGCCCAGACGGCATTCCAGCAGAGTTTCTAAAAATAATCGCCACAGAACGCCCTCAAGTGCTTCTAAATATGTACAATGCCTTCCTCAAGAACGGAATATTCCCAGAAATTTGGAAAAGGCAGCAGCTCGTCTTAATCACCAAAGGAAAGGGAAACCTTGACTCACCATCAGCGTACCGACCACCCTGCATGCTGGACACCGCTGGAAAACTCTTAGAAAGGCTGCTAAAACCTAGAATAGAAGCGGCTATCGCTAGCGGTGGCGGACTTTCCTCAAGACAGTATGGATTCAGGCCCGGTAGATCAACAATTGGAGCTATAAAACACGTAACAACAACAGTAGAAGCCGCATACCAACACAAAAAGCTAGTCCTGCTTGCAACCTTAGACGTTCGCAACGCCTTCAACACCGCAAAATGGGAAAAATGAAATATGATAGAAGAAGTCTACAACATACCCACGTACCTTAGACTAATGGTCAGAAGCTACCTAGAAGGCCGGGAGTTACTGTACCATACCACCGATGGACCCCGGCAAATGACGATCACGTCGGGCGCAGCACAAGGCTCCATTCTTGGGCCAGACCTATGGAACGTCAGCTACGACGGAATATTAAACCTTG